ACTGATTTGGCTGAGGTTGGACTAAATCCTTGCTTATCCTCTTCCTAAAAAATAGGGAGCCGTTACTTGACTTTGTCTTCCGTCGATGTCTTCATGCGTCGTCGAGCTTGCAGCTTCGTCAAGGGGAGTCTTCGTCATTGACCTTCATTGACTGTCGTTGACTAACTCTTGCAGATTTTTACCCATAACATATAGTAAGTAGAGAATTAAGTTACACGTCAGTGATCATCATACAACGACCGGGATAATGTTGAATATCATGAATTAATATTGATATTAGGTATGCCATAATAAAGGTACCAGTTGATTGTTGGTGTAGTGGACTAGTGGTGATTGAGACTATATTTGGGGAGGAGGACCCATGTTCGATCCCTTGCAACAACAATTGGGAGGGGAGTGGAACCTAACCACCCAAAACTGATCCCAGAATCCGAATTAACTTGAAGGGTGAAGCGGGTGGAACACACACACACAAAAAAAAAAAAAAAAAAAAAGGGTGGATTGGTCTTGTCTCTTGTGAAGATATTTTGTTTAAAGTCTTGTAAAATTTTTAGGTATGCTGTTGCCATAAGCCCATAATAGCCAACGAATAGATAATAGGTATGCCATAACAAAGGTGGATATTGATATCAAATTTGCCCTAATAGCCAACGAATAGTCATGTTACATACTTCCTCCGTTTCTAAATTACATTCCTATTTCTAGCATTTATTATTTTATTCCTCACATTTATTATTATTATTATTATTATTATTATTATTATTATTATTATTATTATCATTATCATTATCATTATCATTATCATTATCATTATCATTATCATTATCATTATCATTATCATTATCATTATCATTATCATTATCATTATCATTATCATTATCATTATCATTATAATTATTATTATTTTTAATAGATTTTATTCCTCACATAATAGAGAGAAGTTGGAATATAATTTAGGGACGGAGAGAGTACCTTTTTAACTAGTATCATTTTGAATTAAGTTTAACCATCTACAATTTTTTTGTAATCCTAGATGAATTATTCGTAACACATTTTGTTAACAAAATTTAATTACTTGGTTGAACTTGTCCCACATTGAAAGAATACAAGGAGAAAAAAATTTACAATTTCTATTTAAAGAGAATTCCATGAAAAAGCTTGAATACAATTGAATAATTTTATTTCATTTTTAATAAGTAAAGCACTTTAATTATGAGAAATTATTTTATTAGTATCACTTTATTTTTGCTGAACTCGACAGGTAAAACATGTACTTCGTATTAGATTGTAGCTACTGAAGCGAAAGGTATGACAAAAAAATTTATTTTTTTTCTCTACAGGAGATAGGAAATGAATAGTCAACTTAAATACATAGTTATGTGGAGCAATATTCATTTATTTTTCAATTAATAAATTGAATTTATAAAAAAAAATACAAATAACTTAAAATACTATTCAAATTACGTTCCTTTATTATTGTATCAAGTATCAACCATTAGTAAATGAACCCTTTATTACTAATTGAATTATTTTTTTTCCTATAGGATTAATAATTTAATTTATAAACCGTGCATTGCACAGATACTATGCTAGTTAGTAGTTAAGATGCAGTTTATGTTAGATTTAACCTTCCTTTTTAACTAGTATCATTTTGAGTTAATTTGAATCACTTATTTTTAATAATATCTGGTTTATTTTATTAGTAACCACTAGGCTAGGTCATGTTATTTTTACCTTATTTTTGCTAAATTGAAATTATTCTTACTGAAGTTAAATTATTTCTTATTCAATTTTATTTATTTATTTATTTTTTTTTTATTTTTTATGTTATGATTTGAATATATTCAATAAGTATTGACTTTGCTTGTATAATGCTAAAGGGTTATTTTTAGGCGCATTTATGTATTTAAACTTATCTTACCCATTTTAGCTTGTAATTTTATATCAATTTTAACTTTTCCCTGCTTTATCTTAACTCTTGGTGTATTATTAGTAGCACAAATCCTGTGTACAAAAAAAAAAAAAAAACTTTGTCAATTGAATTGCGGCTAGGTTTAAAGGATCAATTAACACTTTTTAGGAGCACTTTTTTTATTATCAGTAGCGATGCATACAATTGATATTGGACTAAGGCCCCATTCACTTCACTTTATTTTTGCTGAACTGAAATTATTTTTACTGAATTGAAATTATTTTTGCTGAACTTAAATTATTTTTACTGAACTGAAATTAATTTTACTGAACTGAAATTTTTTTTTGCTGAACTAAAATTAATTTTACCGTACTAAAATTATTTTTGCTGAACTAATTATTTTTACTAATTTTCTATTATATTTCTTGTTTATAGTTACTGAATTTTACTCAACTGAACTGAACTTATTTTTACTTAACTGAAATTAATTTTACTAAACTGAACTTATTTTTACTGAACTGAAATTATTTTTACTGAACTGAACTTATTTCTACTGAACTGGAATTATTTTTACTTATTATTATTTTTGTAAGGTGAAGTGAACAGGTGCTTAGCCTTCCTTTTTGCATAGTATCATTTTGAGTTAATTAATTTTAAACATTCGCTAGTTTTTCATAACCGTTACCCTTTAAAAAAAATCATAACCACTGGTTTAATTATTTATTATGAGTAACCCTTCGTATTGATAGATTAGTTGTCATATATCTTACCCGCGCCTATATTAATGTGTCTAGTTTATGTTTTTGTTCATTAAATAGATGAAAATCAAGTGACCACGTACCAAAATTAACAAGTGAGCTACACAACTTTTTTTTTTTTTTTTGAAACAATGGTGGTTGATGTGTGGGGATTATATAGGGAGGGCATAACTTTTATCATTCACTTCAAATGCTACAACCTAAGTGCATTGATCTGCAATTTGTGTATATTTTACGTCTCTTAGTATTTTCAAAAGAAAATAGTAATTTTTAAAAAAAATTAGCATTATTGAATTCATTATTAAAAGGTGTAAGTTAAAGGAAATACTATTATTTCATTTTTTTAAACTATTTTTATAGTATTGTTGAGTTAATTTTTATCGTTCACTATTTTTTTCTTAATCTTTTGTTTATAACGAAATATTGTCGTACAATTTTATTTTTTTATTGATGAACAAGAAGGGACTAGCCCCAGAAAAAAAATAAACAAAGAAGAAAAAGAAAAAAAAAATTACATGGCTTCCCTGTTGATATATGGATTAAGAATGTGCCAAGCTTAAGGTTTCATCCATTAATAGACTTAGTTCTGTTCATCTTATTTTTTCTGAACTGGAATTAATTTAACTAAACTGGAATTAACATTACTACTTCCTTATTATATTAGCTCTTTTTGGGGGATTGCCCATTAATAGACTTAGTTCTGTTCATCTTATTTTTTCTGAACTGGAATTAACTTTACTACTTCCTTATTATATTTGCTCTTTTTGGGGAATTAACTTTACTACTTCCTTATATATATATATATATATTTGCTCTTTAAAGTTACTGATTTTTTATTGATAAAAAAAATTAAATGAATTGGACTTATTTTTACTAGACTAAAATTATTTAAATAAATTAAAATTATTTTTGATGAATATTTCTTGTAAGATGAAGAGAATAGAACACATAAAATTTATCATAAACTTCGTATGCCATGACTTTTTCTAAATAAGAGAGCATAGGGTTCAAGGGTTTTCTAAAAGATGAACGGTATTGAAGTGGACTATTCTATAATTCCAATAGACTTGAATGGATCATCAAACACTTATAGGATCATATATATGTATTTGCTATAGAGATGTGGTTGGTGATAGATTTAACTTCCTTTCTTAATAAGTATCCTTTTGAATTTATTTGAAACCTTCATTGATTTTTTTTATTTTTTACTCTTGATGAATTGTTAGTAACACTTTAAATATATATTGATGGATAAATATTCAATTGTCATATTGTGATCTTTTGTATTAAAATGTTTTATACCAATATATTGTGTGGTAACAAAGTAAAATTTGTAATTTCAATCATTAACTATTGCTAATTTGTGCAGAGTATTTGTTTAGTTTGATAATAATGTTCAAGTGTTTTTTCTTAATGTTTTGATAATCATCTTGAAAATTACATAATTTTGTACAAATATTTATATTAGTAAAGCCATATTTAAAAGTAGTATCAAATAGTTCGTGACTTTAGCATGAAAAGTAAGGATATAAGATGATGAAATGGCTTAATACTTTGTATGATAAAAGAAGGAGTGAAGGTGATGCCTGTTTTGGGAATTACAATTATTAATTTAGGTGGTTGGAAAGTTAAATTACATTTGAAAATTGAATTTGAAAATTTCAGAAATCATTTTAAAATTTTGAATGAAAATTTAAGAGGCCCATTATATTAAGATGTCTTTCTAACCAATGAGAGAGGAGTGTGCAAGATCCTTTTACACACTGAGTGTGAATGTAGTGCCTCCCCAATAGTTAACGTCTAGCCAAAATACTTTTGAGCAATTGTCATAATTGCCCTTACTTTTCCAAACATTATCCTTAGATAACACAAGATTTGTTTTGAGCAAGTAGCCAAGTACTAGTAAGGCCCTGTTCTTTTAAGCTTCTAGGCAGAGTAGAGCAGGGGTCAACAGAGCAGATTTCAGCAGAGCAGAGCAGATTTCAGCATTATTTTTATTAATATTAATACAACTACTATTATTAATTTATTATTATTATTATTATTATTATTATTATTATTACTATTTAATTTAACTACTATTACTATCATTATCGCATTGTACTACCATTATTACTACTGCTACTACTGCTGCTACTGCTGCTGCTACTACTGCTACTTTATTATAATTTTTAAATATTAATTATTATGCACTTTAATTATTAAGTATTATTAATTATTGGTTCATTAATATTATTAATTGATATTAACCTAGAGCAGAGCAGAGCAGATTTCAGCAGAGCAAATTTCAGTAGAGCAAATTTCAGTAGAGCAGGGCCAAACAGAGCAAAACAGCTCTAAAGATTAGGGCCTAAGAGCAGTAACTATATTTCCCGGGAAAGAACTCAAAAACCAGAAATCCCCCCCAAAGAAAGCATGGAAATGAGAGCAAAAGAAGACATCCAAGTATCAGAAGACATAACACCACCATTACCACCTTTAGCTTTCTCTCTCTACAACTCTTCTCTCTCCTCTCACTGCTCCTCCTGCTCCCTTCCTCTCTCCACCACCACCAATACCACCGCAACCTTCATCAACTACTGCTCTAATGGCGGCTGCTCCTCCACCATTGACGCATCTCTCCACTACTCCTCCGCCGAACACCACCTTCTCTCTCTCCTCCACTCCAACCCTTCTCTCTTCCCTCACTCCGACTCCTCCGACCTCCGACTCTCTCTCCGCCTCCTCCACCTCCTCCCTTCTCACTCCCACTCTCTCTCTCCTCGCCTCCTCGGTGTCCTCACTAATCGAGATCAATTTCGGGATTCAGCTAGGGTTAGGGTTGGAGCTAGGGTTATGGCCATGGCGCGGGCAATCAGGGATAAAGGAGACTCCGATTTTGATAGTTGTGAGTTGGAGGAGGCTGTTTTGTGTTTGGTGATTACTAATGCTGTTGAAATTCATTTTAATGGTGTTAGGGTTGGAATTGGGGTTTATGATTGCCGCTTCTCTTGGATTAATCATAGCTGTTCTCCAAATTCTTGTTTTCGGTTTGTTCCGATTTTGGATGATGATTCTTTGGTGTCGTCCACGGCAATGCGGATTTCCCCTTGTGGTGATGCAGCTAATGTATTTGTTTTTCGTCTTTTGAATTTGTTTTTGTCTTAGTGTTGCTTCATTTTTTCTGGGATCTAATTATAGTGTTGTTTTGTGTATTTTTATGTAGATGGAAGGTAGAGGTGGTAGTACTGATAATTTGGCTAAAGGTTAGTTTTTTTTAATGAAAAAGGTTTTGCATTTGGTAATTGAGTTTATTGTAGAAAGTAAGATTGATTTTGTTGATTTGAATGAGATGTAGGAGTTGGGAATTATGGTCCAAGAATAATTGTTAGAAGTATTAAGGGAATTCAAAGAGGAGAGGAGGTGACGATTACATATACCGATTTGTTGAAGCCTACGGTACCCTTCTAATGTTATTGATGATTACCTCTTCCTTCTTATATTATGTTGCATTTTTTTGGAGTGAAAGTATATGCATTGGTGTGACGGATGAGTGGATGACAATATCATGTTTTGGTGATGTTGAAGATCTTAGTTTAGCCTTGTGGATAAATTAGTGGTACTTTCAAGCTGGTAGTGTTGATTATGCCAAATACGGGAGTTAATAATGTATAAATACCGTATTTGGCATTGTAATCATAGAATAATAGAATAACAAAACTTTTTAAAGGCTAATATACTGTTTATCCAGCTTCAATACTGGATAAATTTAGGGTGAAAAGTTGCAAAATGGCATTGAAGAGCATGAGGCAAAATTGTTGTATAATTGAATATTATATGCAGAAGAGCTCAACAGAGTGATTAAAGTCAAAGAGATTGTCTACAGTTATTTAAAAAAAGAGGAATTCTAACTATGAGAATTGGTTTATATTTTGTATTCAAAGATTTATTTCTAATATCTTTGTGGTATTCTCTTAGGAGTGCTCTAATTATGTTTTAAGGGAATGTCATAAACAATGTGGGTTGCATTTTTCTTTTGCAATATATTTTTAGTCCATCTAGATGTTGTATTGGATGGTCTGGCAAAGAGTGTAGGGAAGTTATTGTGAAGCGGATCCTGGATGGGATGAACAGTTTCATGATATTGGAAATGCTGAAAGACTTAATTTTAGGTTTTTGAACAAATGTATAACGTGATAATCACGACATCACAGACATGTTAATTGGTCCGAGTGACTTGTGATTTTATGCATAGCTAGGAAGACTTATGCAATGAACTTGGTACAAAAAATGCAGGGAAAATAGGCATTTGTTAAATTGATGAAGCAAGAGGTAGAAAGAAGATATAGAGGCATCATTATGTGCAGCATATATCTTAGTAAGGTATGTTGGTATCAGGGGTCAGAGGGGGTAGGTTCATGGGTTTCTTTAACAAACTATATGGACAAGTAAAGGGCTGTTATATTATAGACGCCCTCATTTATTTGGAAGAGTTCTAAAAAAATAGGTTGGTTTTATTCATGCATGGAAAGGATTAAGGGAATAACTGTAGTAGAGAAGCAAGAATAATTTGACTGTGGCAAAGGAGCTTTCTATGTTTTGTGCATCATTATGCTATTTTTAAGATACATTATAAAGAAAATTACTTCCCAGTATCCTCTAGGTCTGAGCTGTAATCATGGATCCGAAACAGGACATTATATTTTATCAATCAGCAAAGGCAGGAAGCTGGTATAGTGTTTTGGTGAAAGTGTCAAATTATTTGATGAGCATGATTAGGAATTTGGGATTCGAACAAAGTATCCTTTTTACATGGCAGTAAAATTACTAATCAAAGTGCGTATGAGTTCTGATTTTGTGAGTAGTAATTTCATATTTTGGGTTAAGAGAGTATTTTCTGGTACAATCTTATAGTGAGATTACTAATCCCTGCTGCGGCAGCTGTACAAAGATGTTATGAACCATCTACAAATATGATTATATGAACACAAGCACAGAAATACTAAGAGTATTTTTGCTTAATATGCATAAATCGTTTGTTAAATTTAGTCCTAATATGCCGGAGGATTTTCGTGACCATCTTTCTAACTGTTTGAGATTGCGCTCTGAATCCCGGCTCGGATCTTATTTGGGGCTCCCGGTTGATCAGGGGCGAAGTAAATGCTCGGAGTTTAATTTTCTTTTAGATAAAGTGGTTTTGCGGGTTTTGCGTCTTTGCATCTCTCTTCCGCTGCAAAATTGGTTGTAATTAACTCGGTGTTAGTAGCTTCGTGTAAACACATTTTATCGATTTTTAAAGTTCCTGAGACTATTTGCTCCAAGATAGATAACTTGTTAGCTAGGTTTTGGTGGAAATCTTCTTCTTCAAGTCGAGGGATGGCTATCAAATCTTCTGCTTTGCTGCATCTCCCAAAGGGATTGGGAGGTTTGGGAATTCGTAGTGTTGCTCCTTTCAACTCTGCTTTGCTAGCTAAGCAAAGCTGGCGTCTTATTCAGTTGCTGGTTTTCTCGTCTGTTGTTTGCAAAATATCCTTCTTTGAGGAATAGGGAGGCTGCTTTGGTTTCTCATCCATCTTGGGGTTGTAGGGGTCTGCTTTATGGTTTTTCGATGTTATCTAGAGGTTTAGTTTGGAAGGTCAGTTCAGGTTCTAGAGTCCGGATTCTAGAGGATTCTTGGGTTCTGGGTGGGCCGGTCCAATTTAAGGACCAGCCATCGGAGGCAGCTATGCCGTCTCTTGTTTCTTCTCTATTTGATTCGCGTTCTTACGCGTGGGATACTTTGGTTCTTCACAACCTGTTTGATTCTCATTCTGCGATGAGGATTCTGTCTTTGGATCGTCCGGGGCGTCTAGTGGACGATTTTGTTTATTGGAAATTCACTAGGGACAGTGTATTTTCTACAAAATCAGCTTATGCCCTTCAATGCCAGTCTAGCATTTCTGGTTGTTGTCTTCCTTGTGGCGGAAATTTTGGAGGTTACCTATTCTGCCTCGTTGGAAATGTTTTGGTTGGAAGTTGTTACAGGACGCTCTTCCGTTGTCTGCACTCCTATCTTCTCGTGGTTGTCCAGTTGATCCAATTTGTGCTTTTTGCCACACTCAATTGGAGGTGACGGCACACACTTTCAGGGACTCTCCGTCTGTTCGTCCGTTCCTTGGGTGTTTTCTCAGTCTTCACCTTTTGGGGTTTGGTTGGCTGATTCTATTTCTCGTTATTCTTCGGCTGGTTCTGAAAACAAGGTTATGGCTTTATTTGCTATTCTCTGGGCTATTTGGCGGTACAATTGAGAATATGGCTAAGGAATGGTATTATCGGTGTGTTCAGAAGAACTCTTCGATTTCTCGTTCGGCTGTTGGTTCGGGTTTGTCGGCTGTCCCGTGGCTTTGCTTGCAGGGGTAACCTAATGTTTTCCCAACACCTTGCTTGATTGTGGATGGGGCTTGGGATAGTTCTACCTATAGAGCAGGCAGGCTTGGGTTATTCGTGACCTTTGTTCATTGGAGGTCCTAGGTGGTGGGAGTCGGGCTTTTATGGCGAGTTCTGCTTTACATTCTGAGTTAATGGGGAGTTCAGTTTGCACCGCGCAAGGGTTTCTTGAAGATCTGGATTCATACGGATTGTGCTGCTGTCATTTCGTTTCTCTCGTCTCGAGGGTCTTTAGACATTTCAGTTTGGTGGCTCATTCAAGACTTGCGTGACGCTGTTCGTTCCCTGTTGGTGTGTCAGACTCGGCTCACTGGTTGGCTGGGTGTGGTCGTCATAGGCAATTGCTGTATTTTCAGTATTAGTTTTTTTTTCCTTAGCTCTTTTGTCAAAAAAAAAAAAAAAAAAAACAAACTTCTGGTTACAGATTTCCAACATTGGAGGCTTTAGGACACCACTCTCATTACCCAATTTCTGCACACATAAGCTGCCTATTTCCTGCCCCCCCCCCCCCCCCCCCGCCCTTTTTATATGTAGATAATTCACTCCACAAAAGCCAAGTCACCAAGGATCCTACCTACCCAACAGCTATCCCATTAGTCATTTGTCCTGTTGCTCTGCTAACTGCTGCTCCACTAGTGTTCTTCTTCAAGGCCGTGCTTTCCCCTCCTCATGTAAGTTATCCAGTCATGAGTAATCCCATGGTTTGTTACAAAAGAACCCTCCCCCCCCCCCCTCTCTCTCTCTCTCTCTCTCTCTCTCTCTCTCTCTCCACATGTGATGATTGTTACTCCGTACTAAATACTCAAATTGCTACTACCACATGAAAAAATCCATTTCATCATGTTGAACAATTCGGCATGCTTAAAACTAAAGTTGCTGGTAGATATAGCTGCCTTATTTTGACTTACAAGCAATTTTACTAGCTGACATATTACGACTGACTCTTCAGGAATCTCTAACCAAAGAGGTTATGGACAAAAACCATGTGAATGTATTTTATGAGGGAGAAAGCACGACAAGTAATAAGCAAATTTGAGATGTAAAATTCGTATTTTGTCGTGTTATCTTTTATTTTTGTTGGTTATGTTGATTCCTGGTATTGTTCTCTAAAAATTATTAGAACACAGCTTCTCCCTAATATTCTTTAGATCTTTGCAAATCTGTGCTATAATTTGTTTTCTATCAATTTTGTAGGCGCTGAGGCAATCAGAGTTGTTGCTGGAATACAAATTTGTGTGTAGTTGTAAACGGTGTAGCGCAGTACCTCAAGATTATGTTGATCATGCTCTGCAGGTAGGTCTTTTTTCAAGAAGCACTTTTATTTTCTAAAGTTGCTGCTACAATTTGCATAAAACTTGCATGGCTTTGTTGAGTTTGTTCTGTTATGCTTAACGATGAGCATGTCATTTTGTACTGGTTCTAGAAATTTAAGGTTGCTAAATCAGAGAGGTAACATATGTATGGCATGGTTGACCTCGGCGATTAAATCACCGGTACACAAAATGTTATACGTATATTATCTCTGCATATCTCAAATATTACCCGAAATGCTATACAAGTAGTCCTATCATTAAGGATTCCTTACGATTCTTATATGTAGTATACATTTCCTTTTCAGTAACCTTTTTAACTACATTTAATTTGTCTCATACATCGTTGTAATATTGTATTACGTGATTTACAAGACAAGCTCCTAAAAATATTTGTTTGTCCAAGTTATCATCTCATTAATAACATGCATGTGTACAATGAGTCTAAATTCACCTTCGCGAGCACAGACATGTTAACCTAGATTATGGATAAGGATTGACCAGGTGCAAAGCCATGGATCAGATTTTTAAGTTGTATAATTCAATGATACATGGATTCATTGGGTGATTCAGAAATTTATTATGAGTTCATAACATGGATCTTTAAAATCCTACTAATTGCCTACAGCGATAATTGTGAAAGAAAACTATTATGTGAAAGGTCAGATTAATAAAAAGCGACCTTGTTTATGGGGTGAAAATTATAAGACCTGTTGAGTACTCTCATGAAAGTAGGTATTCAAATCCTTTAGTTTTGAGAGTTTTCATGACATTATAAAATTACACCTTGTTTTGAAGGTGATTGAGAGAGATAATAATCAGAGAAAAGAAATTATTTAAAAAAGGAGCTGGTAGTAAAGAATTAAGGAGAAGGAAAATGAAAGGATGGAGACTTACTTCACATCTAGTTGGAAAAGAATGCTGACAAGCAGCTTGGCCTACCATTGATGAGTAATAAGATGGTGGATTAATGCTTCACCTCAAACCAATGCTTTAGTGTCTTGATTGAAGGTTTGTGTATTTGGCTTTCAATCGACAGATCTAGGGTTTTTGTTTTATAACATTAGCTATGAAATTATTTCTAAATTAAGGCCCATTTCAATGGAAGTTGATTGGTGAGAGGACTAAGGGTCATTAAACCCTTTTAGGGTCCAACACATCTAGGTTGTGCGTCATTTAGGATGTTGCAGGACATGCAATATGGCTCTATTTAGACATATTTAAGTGTGATAGTCTTGGTCTTATTAAATATAGATGATGTAAGCACCTTAACAGTGCTTGGTATTGCAAGTGTTTCATTTGTCTAAAGAAGAATAAATACTTGTTTCTAGGAGCATGGAGCATCCGGAAACATGAGTGCTTATGTATCTACTTCTTCTGTCTTTCATATTATTTCTACTTTTTGTCGGCCCTTACGCATTATATATTGTATGGTCTCTTACATAAAATCCCTTGTCTCTGTTGTGAGAAGATATTTCTTCGCATCACTTGTTTTTGTCTACTTTGGTCTAGCCCCAAAAGTAAGCAAACGATGTTGGAACTAATAAATTATATATATTGGTATTTATCTATCTTGATCATCTATCACTGAGGATTAGATCCAGGGGGGGGTGTGATCATCTATCACTGAGGATTAGATCCAGGGGAGAGGGGGGGGGGTGGGTGTGATCATCAAGGACAGAGTATGTACTATGTAGCCATTGGATTAGTGAGTGGTAAAAAGTCAACACTAGTATGGAAGAATCTCAACATAATTAGTTGAAGAACAAGTCTGAGACTGTTAGACTGTTAGAATAATAGGATGAAAGTGGATAAGCAGAAACCCAAGTGGAACTTAGAACAGTTTTACCAAGACTTGGTTTGGTAATGGGCAATAGGAAACCTGAGCAATTTGAGGAGTGACCCATAAGCACTAGTAAAAGTAACAACTACAAGTAGAACTGTAGAAGTCAACTTTCACGGTACAATTTGGTATTAAGAAGATAGTATGCTAGGTTGCGTCTGGATGACTACCCCTTTGGTGAAATATGAGTGGAATAACTGGTCTTATGGAGTTCCAAAGGAAATGGGTAAATGAGTTACAAAGGATGGACAAAATAGTAAACACCCCCCCCCCCTCTAAATTGGTTGTAATTTCGAACTGGGTGCTTTTCACCACAAAAATAGAAACAAATGACAAAGGGATTAGTGGTTTATTTGTTTTATTCGTTTCATTTTGTAATGGATTTTTAAATCTATGAAGGGGATGAGTTGGTTTTGATATGGTGAAGATGCCAAAAATTTGATTCAGTCTAACAAATGGTGCAAGTTGAGTTCTATAATTTGATTTATGGGTCAAACTCCATGCATTAATTTCTAATATTTAAGGATTAGTAAAACAAGACGACATTTAGGGATGGAGAGAGCATGTAAGTACGTAAAATTTGTATGCTGGATGTACCATTAGAAATGAATTGAAGATGAAAATAGAAAATCCATACTTTATAATCAAGCATTAATCATTAAAAGCTGCTGTAAGGAGTATGAGGCATAAGCATGGTTATAAACATAAGCCGATCAGATGCAAGAGTTGTTTGGTGTAGTACCTCTGTACCTGGATTGTCTGTAGTCAATCAATTAAATAATTAATTCAGTCATATATAGTTGGATGTTTCATAACTTTTCTGATCGAAGTGCTGGTGTTTTACCAAATACGCATGTAAGTAGTTTGTTTGGATTTCTCTAATGTAGTGCTATAATTTGCCTCTACAATTGATTGTACTGCCTTACTTTTGGACTGGGTTGCATCTCCTTGGTTTCCCATTGCAGCTTTGTCTTTGCCAAATTTCCTTCATTTAAAAGCAATCATGCTTACCAATCATGATTAAAACATGTCTTACTTTTTCAGGAGATGTTTTGTGCCAATTTTACCAGAGGTTGCTCAAAAACTCTGGACAATGATTATAAGGATCAAGTGGTTGAATTGTTGAGTGATATGTTGGATAGTACTATAGAGGAGTATATGGAGGTAGGTGATCCTGTATCATGCTGTGAGAAGCTTGAAGGACTCTTTTCTGAAGGCCTGTTAAATCAACATTTGGGGCAAGCTAAAGGAGATGTTGCTATAGATGTCAAGTTGTCTCCCTTTCATTATCTCTCTTTGAACGCATACACTACATTGATTTCTACATACAACATGCGTGCTAATTTTAGTGGCGAAATGGACCACTTGAGCATTGACATGAGCAGAACTAGGGCAGCATACAGCTTGCTGCTTGCTGGTGCAACACACCATCTTTTTCTGTCTGAGCCATCTTTGATTGCTTCTGCTGCAACTTTCTGGATAGATGCTGGACAGTCCTTACTATCTATTGGCTGTCCATTTTGGAGTTCTTTTGCAAATGGCAAGTTGCGAAATCTTCCAGATGCTCCTGAAGTTAATTGCCCTGGCTGTTCCTTGATGGATAACTTTAAGTCCCACTACATTTTTACTCAAACTCAAAATAAGTATTTTGATAACACAACTCAAGTGTTTCACAAATGTACATCAATTATCACTCCAAAGGTTTGGAGCTTCTTAATTCAAGGTTGCAAAAACTTGAAAGATGTTAAAGATCCCATTGATTTCAGCTGGATTCAAGTTAAGAGGACTTTTGAGTATACTTGGTCACAGCAAGCTGAGTTCAACTCATGTCATGGAAGTGAGAATGGAGATCTTAGCAAATGTGTATCGGGCGACGAGTCCATAGATGTAAGGACAGCTACCTATCAACTAGGTGTGCATTGTTTGTTGTATGGTGGCTTTTTGTCAAGCATTTGCTATGGTCATTCATATAACACTCAATTGATACGAAATGTGATTTATATATGATCATTTGATTTCAAAGCCAGTTATACGTATGACTACAGTGGAATACATTGAGCATTTTTGGAAAGTTGATTGAGATTACAAGAACACTTCAGTCATGATTCCAAACATTGTACCCAATTTTTTGGTTGAATCGACAATATGCTTTGACATAGGCCAGCCAAAGCAAATCACATTCGAGAATCTTTTTGTTGGAGCTTTAGACTAAATTTTTTGTTCAGTTATTATTCGAATTCGATTCCTCATTTGGATCAAATTGAATAATGAGACAATCTTCATTGTGTCATACTATTTCAAGTCAGGGATTGGCGGATGCATGACACATTTGACACGTGGCCTGGGGAATTACTAGAACATTGAGCCGATGTTGGTCAAATACTCCTTTGTGCCTTTGTCATCTTTTATAAGGATTTGGCATAATTCATACAGAGATTCTATATGTTAACTGTCAAGTAAAATCAGGGATTCAGGGCAGGAATGATCAAATTCAGAACTTCAAAGGAGCTGTGGATTTGTGTGGTTTCTGTGAGGTACAATCTACTGCATATGCTTTCACTTATGATAACGGTCTGCAAAAGTGTGCTAACTTCATGGTGAGTGTGTATGTGTAGTGTGTTGGGATGACCCATAGGGTGGATATTATGCTCTATTGTGCTGTCCTCTAGCTGTAGCAAACTAGCAATTTGGGAAGCTGGTGTCTGTTAGAGGTCTTTCAGGAATTAGAGTAGGTGTTACATTGGGCCGTTAGGGGAGCTTGTTGCAAGGGTGTTAGAGAGCATGATTGGCACACCCCCTCCGCTACTGCTGCTTATAATAAGCTTATTGTTGACATGATCTCAACAAAACCTTCTTTGCAACTACCTGTTATTCAGCAGTTCTGCAGTGCTGGTCTGCCCCACCTGTGGGTAGAGTCAAGGGTAACGTTAATGGTTATTTACTCAGCTCAGTTGGAGTGAATATTGGTGTCGTACTCCAGGATGGTAGCGAGGCAGCTCTGTGTGCTTAGTGTGCAAATTTGAGAAGCCAAGACAGTCTTGGTGAGCATTAAACTAGCAGATGAGTTTGGTTATCAAGTAGTGAAGTACTGGTAAAAGCAATCAACAACTGAGAAGCTGAAATTGCTCATTCCATCTTATGTATGATGTTCATTTTGATATGCTTAGTTATCTTGGATTTTTGTAAGATGGAAGGGCAATATAGTTGCCTATGAGTTAGCTTGTATATTTTCGTGGGAGATAGGTAGATGACTAGATGGTACTCCGTAGTTGTTTAAGGATTTTCCCACGTCGGTTTGTGTTCTTTTATCATATGATGTGCTAATAAGTATGAATAATTTTTGTCCTAGGAAGGCTTCTTTTGTATATAAACAATATTGAATCCAATATTAGTAAATAATTTAAGATCGAAATTTGTACAAACAATGCAAAAGTTAATTGTTAAAAGTTTTACAAAATAGCTGTGAAATAAACTAGTAGTACTAGTAATAATGTTACTGAAAAAAGCAATTGTAATTGGGCCTCTTTGTATGTGTTGTAATTCTGTAAATATTTTTTAAGCTATCACACTGTTAAATTGGCCGGGCTGTCATTTTGTATTGTGCTAACATGATGTATTACAAGTTAAAAGTTTATACTACTATGCACTTTTTTCGCTCTATAAATATTGAAACATTTTTTTATTTGCATTGTTGCAATATAAGGAGAACGGATGAAGTGTATTTTTAGTCTGATTAAAACTATGGAAGTTAATATGATAAAACCATAATACTAGACAAGTTTGAATTATATAAGATATATCGATAAATAATTATAATTTTTTTTTGAAAGAATAAATAATCATAATTTTATTAGTTATTATGTAAATTTCTACTCCGTATCTATTCAAATAAAATAATTTAGTTGGAACAAACATAAAAGATGTAAAGAGCGCAGTTTCTAAAAGTTGGGCAAAAAGCATTATAATAATCACAAAAACTACCGACGTTTTTTTTTTTTTTTTAAAATGAAAATGACTTTTATGAATATGTCCTACATTGCCTCTATTTTAAGACTTCATATGTAAGTCCACTTTAACTTTTAGTGGTTTATTGTGAAGCACAAGTTCCTGATCCACCCAACAAAAGAAGATATTTCAAATATCTGGTATCTTGATTCTAGAAGCTCTCTTATTACCATTTGTAAACAAATTAGTAAAAGAGAAGTTAGTTGGGTGAGTAAATGACGAAATAGACGTTGATACGCATTGATTTTGTTTTGTGGGTCATAGGGATATCCGTTTAGCACAATAGCATCCTAAACTTGTACTCCTGTGTTGTGCTCATCTTTCATAAAAAAAGCCTATATGACTTGTTTGGTTCTAGTCCATGTATAAAGTTTAGTATTCTGAAATGACAAAAATACCCCTCTATAAACTAATCCACCATTAATCATTACAAAGTACGTATTTATCACTGATCTGTCTAATTATTACGGATTTGCCACATGAAAGTACAACTATATACAACACACCAAAATACTGACTGGATAACCCATGACCGATCGAGTAACCTTGGCCAAGTGACTCATGACCGAATAACCTATAATCGGCAGAGTAACCCCTAATCAAATAACATAGAAAGTACACTGTATCTACTTTCACTCTTTAAAAATACCATTCGCTAACTTAAGCATAGGAGAGGTTTTCCCGAGGCACACCCCCAAGGGAGCTAACCTTCTCTGTCTTGCAGGCCGATCCCTCAGACGTCAATGCAAGAAGAAGCTCTCAGACATACCTTTGCAAGGTAGAGCTCTCAGAATTTAGGACAATTGGACATAGACTCGAGACATCTTGATATACCTAAAAAAACCCAACACACTCAGGAGAATTTTGTTATTAGAAACCTGGCTAATTGGCTACAGATAGAACTGTTCGACAAGTTGTGTCGTGTTATCATTCCCCTTTAATTATAATTTGGTCGACATACATTATCAGTTGATACATTTGTTTACCTATGATGCCGAGTTCATGCCAACTTTTGAAATTGATATCCCTACATAACCTATCAACATGTCTCTCATATCATATCGGCTTTGTAACAAACTATTGTCGGACTAAGCCAAATTTGTGTTGTGCCTAGTGCTGTCAAATTTCAAACCGAAACTGTTTAACTGCCTGAAACAACCGACCTAAATGAGAACTAAACCGATTAAAAACTGTTTTTTAGAAACCAAAAATGACCCGAACTGATGTAAATGACCCGAAACCGAACCGATCTGAATAACGTTACACCGTATAAGAACCGAACCAGTTCTAAGCCGAACTGAAATCAAACCGAACCGAAAAAGAACCGAACTGTTTCTAACCCGAAACCGCTTTCAACCCGAAACCGTTTGAACCAAGATAAAAACTGTTTACACTGAACCGTTAACAACCCACGACCCGTTAGCACCGAACTGTATATAAACCGAACCGCTTGCAAAGCAAATCCAAATGGTTAGCAAGTACTATCAAATTTCAAACCAAAACCATTTAACTGCCCGAATTCAAACGACTCGATAAACAATCGATTTTTTGAAACCGAAAACCGACCCAAACTGTTATTTAGTAAAATCGAAATGGAACCGATTCAAATAACGTTAAACCTTAGAAGAACCGAACCAGTTATAAACTGAACCAAACCAATTATAAATTGAACCGAAAAAAAAAACCGAACTAGTTATAAACTAAATCGAAAAAAGCGAACTGTTTCCAACCCGAAACTGTTTTAACCGGGATAAAAACCGTTTACATTGAACCGTTAACAAACCGCAACCCGTCTGCAGCGAACCGTTTACTACCCGGACTGTTTACAACCCGAACCGAATAAAAATCGCTCAAGTATAAACCGAAACCGGATCGAACCGATAACTATTTAAACCGAACTGAAACCGACCTTCGAGACACTTAAACCGATTTCAAACCGACCCGATTTAATACCGAACCGATTTCAAACCGAAATGAACTCGAACTGTCAAACCGTTTTGACAGTGCTAGTTGTGCCTAATCGGCCCTTGTACCAACCCGACCCACGCAAAACTTTAATCATGAATATGATATTTTGGAGTGCCTTCACGTCCATAGACGTGGCATCACGCCTCTACTTTCAACTGAATTGTTGAGTTCCCTACCACTTGAGAAAGCCAGTATTCATGCAGTTTGACAGTTTCTTTATTTATTTAATTTGGAAGATACAGTTGACAGTTAAGAAATTATGAGTTTATGACCAACAATTGTATATGCCGTATTTGTAACAGTAATACAGGTGGATCCACGGGTTTGGACAATGGAGAGATAGATTAGCTATTTAGCTTAGCAACTGATTAGACTTTTATTAGTTTTGTAATACATGTGACAATACAAAATCTTTTTTTTTTTTTTAATAATTTTTTTTTAATAATTTTTTTTTTTTTTAAAAAAGAAAAATTTAAGGGATCCATATATATAACATATACAAGCATATCTTAATCAATGTAACTTAATTATATTTTGTCTTTTTTAAAATTTGAAAGTATGATATGGATATAGACTTCACTCGTCAAGGATACAATTTGATCTCTTCATAATAAAGTTAGAGCTTTGATTAAATGATGAGTAATGATCCACCTAGATGGGAGAAAGGCAACCATGGAGGCCCATAGTTTGGACATTGTACCATAGTTGTTTTTTTTTTGTTTTTTTTTTTTTTTCAAAGAATTTTAGAAAAGGATATGTTTAGTTTACATAACTTGATCTAATTGTTAACATGCATTATTATTACTTTGCATAACTTTACTATTAGATCATGTATGAATAAGAGCATAATGTCTGATCCATGTACCCTATGCTTCAAAATAAGATTTTTGTAGGCAAGCAATAGGTAAGAACCACGCACTTTTGGCATTTGTGCTTTCAATGCGCAAATATGCCAAAGTCAATTTTACTTGGTTACTTAATTCACAATTAAACCGCAAACTGTGATTGTGGTACTTGACTAAAAACCCCCAGTGATTATTGCGGTTCTACACTGAGAACCGCTAATTGTCAAAAAAGGTAATATAGGTCATGTTTGGCAAAAGTAATGGTAACGGGTAGTTTTTAGCGATCAAGTAGCGGGTACCTATTAAGGTAGCGAGTAGCGGTCAATTAGTAGTAACCTAGTGGGTAGAGGTTAGCTGTCAAGGTAACGGTTGATAGTATGAATGTTTGGAAACGTAGCGGTTGCAATACCAAAATATATCAAAATTGATATAATAATTGTTTTAAAAGTAATAAAAAATTGTCAAACGTTACCCGCTACTTCTAAACACTACTATTTTTAACGTTTGAGAAAAGTTACCTAAACGCTACCTCTATCGCTAGCCGCTACTAGAATCGCTACCTTACCAAACACTCTCAAATTTTTTTTGGTAGTGTTTTGACTAGTCAAAACGCTAACTGTTACCTCAAACGCTACTACCAAACAGGGCCTTAATATAGGGGAGTTTTGTTTGAGAGGTTAGGGGAAAAAAGTTTAACACAAAAATTTAACTGATAACTTATTGGTAATATCTAGCTGAAAGAAGGTTAAGAGTGAATTTTGAACCCAAAATGTTTTGAACCCAAAAGGATAATTTTGAAGAAATTATGAGTGAGTGTTAAAGGATTAATTCAACTATAAACTTAAGCTAATGGTTGAGGCTCAACAATATATTAACTCTATCACATCATATCATACGAGAGCTTGATGGGCTTGAAGTGTAGATATTACACTTTCAAAGGAGGGGCAAATGAGATTGAATCTATTACCTCTTTGTCACATTGACTTCTAATACTACATAAAAGTTTCAATTAAACTAAAATTTAAGCTAATAATTAAGGCTCAAGAATATATTATACACTTTATTATGATGTATACTACATATCAATTACGCTTATTGCTAACAGTTAACAACTAATAGTTATCTCTACATCTACATTTTGTCGAACAACGCCTAGAAAGCATAAGATTCGGAATATAGAATCATAAAAAAAAAATAAAAATAAAACCTAGCATCAATTTATAAATTTGTTAACCTATATAAATGACATGTTAAACTAGCTAATACAATCAGTTAAATACATAACGAGTAACCAATTGGTTGTTGGTGTAGTGGTGATTGAGACTACACTTGGTAGGGAGGACTCGTGTTCGATCCCCCGCAACAACAATCGGGAGGGGAGTGGAACCTAACCACCTAGAACTGATCCCCGAATCCAAATTAGCCCAAAGGGTGAAGCAGGTGGAACACACAAAAAAAAAAAAAAAAAAAAAATACATAACGAGTACATCAAACAGCTAACAGCTAACCTCAAAGAAGGAGATACAATTTGGATAATGCTAAACACATGTGAACAAACTACCTTTAACTCTCTAAGAATACAATGACGTTGCATGTCCATATCAAAATCCTAAATTCACAATTAATATTGTAAGATGTAACTTAAGTCATGTAACGCACAAGATAGTACTATTACAAAGTTGTACCAATTACAATTTGCTTTGTGAAAGATCAGATGTTTGCCGACAGTGGGCCACTCACCAAAGTTCCACGAGATTGGGTAATACCACCGTCCAATTATGTCTTTTATTTGTGTTAAATAGATTTGACAAAAAAATTAAAGTTATACCAAAATTAAACAGTTTATGCCCTTAGAAATTTAGTTTGTTTTGCCCTTAAAATTATCTTATTTTAGGTCTTCCGATATAAAAGCATAGGATTATAAGAAACCTCGTGTCACATTTTCCTTGTTTCATCGCTACTTTTTTTTTATGTAAGACCGTTATTATTGTTATTATTGAAGAGATAATGTATCCTTCAAGGCTAGCTACAATTATAAAACTTAGACAATTAATGCATGATTCATGCTGACTAATTTACTTCTCCCACACGATAATTTGATAGCTATTCCAAAAGATCGAAAAAAGAAAATTACTATGTTTTTGTAAAAGATGAATATATATATTGATCAGACCTCTACTAAAAGTTACGGAGTATGTTGTTAGAATATGTCTTGAATCAATTTAATCCTCGTTAAATGATTATCACATGAGTCATATCATGTGGACTAATATGTCTATTTTTCTATTCCCTGCGCTTTTGTTTAATTTAATCACTTTTCTATAATCTGTACAATTATCAAGATCAATAGCGCTCTCCATCCTCTCACTTGTATGGGATATAATTAACCGTAAGAGATATGCTATGTAATTAATTAATATGGAAAATATTACTCATATTTCAATATTGATTACATAACATATACAAGTATTAGCTAAAACTAACTTTTCGTTAGTGAATCACATAAAATACTTGTTTCTTGATTTTCATTAACATTTTATTAATTTCTTGAATAACAACGTGTCACTGAAGCCCTACTCTAATAGGGTTGGATCGTCCATAAGAGCGAGGGGGTGTTTTGAGGCCACAAAAATAAAATTTTGATGATATCATACATTATTTTGAATAACCAAAATATTTCATGTATATAATCATTGAAAACTACTTGTTACTAACAATAACGAATTACAACTAATTAACCACCATTGGATTCATTGTATAGTGTAGACTATATATCAATATTTCATCTTTATATTTGGCCAAATTTACAAGATGGACAACTCAAGAGCATAAAATTAAAGGAGTAAAATTCAATCAAATATCCACATCCATTGGTAGTGTACTAGTGTATACTTGGCTAAAGATAAGGGGTACACTTGGCTGTGAATAGGAACGTACCAAACTAGCTTAATCTTATATGATAGCAATTGCCCCATTAGCTTAAACTTTACGACCGTTGATAAATCGTTTCAAATGATGGAGATTGTCGACGAAAGATATGCTTCATGAGTTCATGAATTGTCTATGGTCCCTGTTCCGATCTAGTTCACACAATAGGTGGCAAACAAATCGGTTAAATACATAGAATTAATCACTGTCTCAAATTAATTACAACATTAAATGAAATATAAAATATATATAATTCGCAGTATAAATATTAAAGACTTTAGGTGATATAGATGAGACACGTAGTGAGTTTGGAAAGTCGTACACGAAGCATAGTGGTTCGACGTAGCTAGATGCTTCTTAATTTGCAATTAAAAAAAAATCTTTTTTTTTTTAAAAAAAGGCCTTATGTACGTGAGTTATAGTGAATGTGAATGTTGGGTCCGAGACATAGCTCACTATACCAGCTACAGTGAATTAATCCGTTGAGTTCGGGTATGTTCTTATTGACTGAAATGAGCTGAACTAAACTGAATATTTTATGAAAGAAGGAAATTAGGAGCTGAACTGAACTGAACTTAATCTGATGAGAACAGACCGCCCTTCATGTGAAATTTTTGTCAAGTATCCTTGTTTGTATACTGTACTTATTAGTTTAAAATTTAGTATTAACGTTCAACTCAACATAACACACTCTGAAATTTGTGACTTATTAAGCTCCAAAATTTGTTCAAGTATTAGTTCAATTTCCCTAGCTAACATATCTCTAACACGTTATGATAATATTGAAAAATAACTTGTTAACATAACGTGTTAGAGATATGAGATATTGGAAAATATGTCTGATATATTTTCTGATATATCATATATGTAACATAACGTCTATTCGTTAGTTATTAAGCCAATTTCATTACTTTTTTTTTTTATAATTGAACATTTATTTTTCATAAATTATACTCTGTATATGTGCTTTAGACTTTTGAAATTATAAAAATTAACTAGGCCAAAAAAAAAGTCCAATAATTTTTAGATATAATGTGCTAAATATATTAAGTAATATCTAAACATCGTGATTTTATTAATTAAAATAAATAGTCTTTTTGTAACTACACAAATACAATAAACGAGTAATTCATGAACGACTTTGTACAATTGTACCTTTATTATTGTTAAAACTCATTTCCTAATCAAGTTTCAAAACTTTTTCAGGTTAACTTTTAAATCCTGGATTCTTTTTATAAATGAACATAAAAGAGCTTTAGATAAGCTTGCACTTATTTAATTGAATAGTTCATTGATTGTCTTAACTCATTTTTTTTTTTTTATTTATTTTTTTTTTTTTGGTTGATGAGTTTAAAGCTTTAAACCCCACTAAAATATTAAGGTTGTCTATATATGCTAGATAATCTTACAGTTGGAATGTTGGATAGATGAAAGAAAAAAACACAGTCTCAAAGTTTTTATTATTTGACGAGTCAATACACCTTTCCAAAACAACAAATCAAAAATTAAAAATTTAGTTAAAAAGAAGAAAAAGAAATAACTTGTCATTGTCGTCATTAAATCGTGAAACCATCATACGTACTATTTGGCAACACAATAATTCTCTACGTTCAAACTTGCCAAATATACGAACGTAGTATTGACGTGGTATTTCCGTAGTATTATACGTAGATTTTCTACTCATCAACTTACTATAAATAGCTCCTTAAACTTGATCATACACATCATTCAACCAAACAACAAATTATACACTCAAAATATATACCAAACCCTAGTAATTAAGCTCAGTGATAGTACATCCTTAAAATTTACTACACTTCAATTCCCTATCAACTCTTTTAGACAAAATGGAAAGAGGTGGTTATGGTTCCGAAAACACCGGCTATGGTGCCACTGAAGGCAACCGCTATGGCTCTGGAGGCTATGGTGAAACTGAGACAGAAGGCAACCGTTATGGCTCTGGTGGTGGTGGTGGCGGCTATGGTGAGTCAGAAGGCAACCGCTATGGCTCTGGTGGTGGTGGTGGTGGCTATGGTGGTGAGACAGAAGGCAACCGCTATGGTTCCTCAGACTACAACACTGGTACCGGTGGTGTTGGTGGTGGTGGGTATGGGTCCACTGAGGGTAACCGGTATGAATCCGACAACACCACCGGTGGTGAGTATGGTGGTGAGACGAAAAAGTATGAAGAGGAAGGTGGCTACAAAAATAGTGATGAGATGAGTAGTGAAGAGCCAGCTAGGGATTATGATAAGGAAGAGAAGAAACATAAGCATCTTGAACAACTTGGTGGCCTTGGTGCTGTTGCTTCCGGTGCTTATGCTATGGTAATTTTTTTTTTTTTTTTTACTTTTTCTACAATAATTTCTTTTGGGTTAATATCTTCAATTTAAATGTTATAAATAGATTATGGTGTGTACATTAAGGTCCCGTTCAACTCACCTCCATAAAAATAATATTTAGTAAAAGGAAATTTTGTCAATAAATACCAATTAAAGCACGTGTTTTGAAAACAACTACTTATTAATTTTTTTTAGAAGAACTAGCACAAAAATATAAAAAGTTTAACTAGCACTACCACTTTAACAATTTTGGCTAAAATCTCCGGTATTTGGGTCTCACTTTTTATCACTTTTTACTTTTATGAAGGGTAATTTAGATAATTTTGATTATGATTTTATGAGGTAAAGGTAAAAAGTAGAAACTACATGCCGAATATTCTAGTTGGAATTATTAAAGTGGTAGTGCTACTTAAACTTTTTACAACTTTGTAGTAGTTCTTTTAATTTATTTTTTTAATTTATTAACTCTTATATCATCAATTCATCATGATCAAAACAATGATCAAATTAATATTCATATTTATGAGGTAAAATTAAAAGCTGTCTTATTATGTTATCATTTTAACTAAATATATGCTTCCCTATTATCATGTGATGATTAGTAGTTAAAAAATGATTATTGATGCACAAATTAATTATTGTTATATTTGTTTTGGATGAAAATCATAGTATGAGAAGCACCAAGCAAAGAAGGACCCAGAGAATGCACACAAGCACAGGATAGCTGAAGAAGTGGCAGCTGTTGGGGCGGTCGCGTCCGGGGGTTTTGCTTTCCATGAGCATCACGAGAAGAAGGGTGTTAAGGAGGATCGAGAGGAGGCCGAAGAGGCGGAGGGCAAGGAAAAGAAGCACCATTTCTTCTAATTTTAATCAACCCCTTTAAAGTTTAATATACTATGCTTTTTTTTTTTTTTTTTTTTTAAATGTTTTAATTTTCCCTTAAAAACAAAACAAAAAAAAAAATGGTTTTTATTTTGGTACTCTTTTTATTGTATTGTCATGGGGAAAATTAAAACACTTATGTTGTTAATTGGTGTTTAAGTGATAAGCCTCATGTTATTATCTTAATTAGTTACAATATTATTTGTTGTAATTAAGTTCGTGAATGATAAATATTATTTGTTGTAATTAAGTTCGTGAATGATATGTTTGGCTTGTATCTTTAGTTACTTATCACCAAACAGGTTATATCTGGTTGATTGTAATTAGTGATGTGTTAATAATAATATTATTATTATTACTTGTAGTATTTATTATTGAAAGTTACTTGTGGGACATAGTTTTTTTTTTTTTTTTTTTTTTTAAAAAAATATTTTTATATAGATGTATAATTGTATATTTGTATGTTTAATTAAATGATTGTATTTGACAATTTCACTATTTTTTGTGGGACATGTACCGATAGACTCGTAAGAAGTAACTCTTAATTTATACTCTTTAAATATTTTCAATAATAATAATCTACTTTCATGCTACAATAATTACCCAATATATCCGAATTTTATAGCTTAAAGTTCGTTGTTCACATGATTTTGTGTAGTAATTCATTGAAGACTTTGCCAAAACATAATTAAAGCCACGAGTTCTTGATATTTTTGTTACTTTTACTTTTTCTTTTTTCATTTTTTTTTTGGGTCTCGTGACATGATAACAAACTTAACAATTCTACTTCATGTAAGTTTAACATCTCTACTCCCATTTATGTGGTGATTTTACTTTTAAATTTTAATTTTCACAAACAAAAGTGCCAAAATTCTCAATAATGACCAAGGTCCAAAGTACTAGCATTCTAGCATAATCAAATAGAAGAATGATTGACAAGTATGATTTTACACAATTGCTCTATATTTAATAATTAGTCAATTTTTATTAGTTATTGAAAATGATCTTTATTTTAAGGGATCTTCATTAATCATGGAACATTGTTCCTAACTTCCAATCACTTAATTTAACTTGCTAGCTCTATCTATACTCCAAACTACAATAATTTCTTTTTTTGGAATTATTCTTACCAATCTTTTAAATTTGCAATCAACAAAATATTTGATTGATAAATTAAAAACCTATTAAGAGTAAACCCTAAACAGTTACCAATTACTTGTATAATTTTAGTATGGAAAACATCAAGATAAGGATATTTAATCCAAGAAAACAGCTATCCAATCCATTTTTATTACATTTAGATATTTCAAATTAGATATTCAAATTTTCAAGATTGAACTTTCCTTAATATAAATATGTTTAGTTATACATCAAATAGTTAGAATCGAATCAGATTAGATCAGATCTGATATTTGTAAGGCCATCATGCATGGCTATAATAGTTAGGGAAAAACTGAAAAATGGCCTTAAGGTACACAACTTAATTGAGGACCTTAGAAAATAAGTTTAATATTTAATTAATTAGTAGGGACTCAGGCCACAAATATTGTACCCGACTACTGGGAGCCAATGGTCCCTTGGATCGGACCCCATACAAATTAAATTAGAGCGAGGTGCACAGAGCACTAATAATAGTCTACTACTATTCGTCAATACTATATTTTCTTGTATAGATAATACCACCTTTTGTATTTTACTCGGTAGTTGATACTTTTTTTTTAACACTTCTTGCTAATGCATAATTTTAACGATTAATATCTAAATATTAACATTGTAAATTTAAATAATTAAAATAAAAAGTCATATGACTATGTTTTATCATAGTTATAACTCATAAAATCTAGTCAAATTGTTGTTTGTGAATAATGCAGAAGTTAAATTGTCAACTTAAAAAAAAAGGAGGAAGTTAAGTATAAAATGAGATCGAAAAGTTGATAATGCGGAATAAAATAGTAGCCTGAAACAGACCACCAATTAACTAATAAGGCAATAATTTATATCAAATGATGCAAAAGAATGTAATAATTAATAATTAAACAATCATATAATATATATAAATTACAACACATAATCAATCAAATAAAATTATAACATGAATTATACAAATGACCATATAATTAAAATAGATATATATACTATATGTAATATGTGTGTTCATAAGCTAGGGCTTTTAATTTGATATAACTAGTGTTTATGCTGATGGTGCTTGTGTTTCTTAAGTTCTTCCTTGGCTTCCTTCTTCTTGTGATGTTCATGGAATGAAAATCCAGCAGCCCCAACTGCAACCGCGGCGGCAACCCCTTCTTTCACCTTGTGCTTGTGGGCATGCTCCATATCTTTTTTAGCTTGACGCTTCTCATGCTATACATATATTTAAAGGGCAACACAGTACATTAATTTCTATAAAATAATACAAGTAATATTTCATTTATCCAACATAGGTAATATTTGTTGTAATGAAAAGATTTTTAAAAAAATAAAAAATAAAAAATAATACAGTTTGAAGGTTGATAAAATTATGGAAAATTAATAGCAGTTTAATATCTTACAGAAATCAAATATTCCGGGTGATAAAAAGGGTTATTATTATGTATAATCTATCTATATATTATTATATTATACTAAAAGACAAGCGCCTCAATGTGAGGATGACAAATGTCACTCTCTCATTGGCTTATCTTAAGTATTAAATATATCTATATAATTACTGTTTACATATTCAAACATAGTTATTTTTGTTAAACTTCAAACAATAAAAGCAAGTTTCTATACATGTATAAGATTTTCATGATTTCCTAACATAAATATTGATTTAAATTTTTTATAATAAATATATACTTTTCAATACTACAAATAATCCATAAAGTCTTTCCAATCTTTATTTATAGTCAAGTTAAAGAATAATAACTAATTTGAAGCAATATGATTAAAGTGGCATAATTAAGGAAACAAATATTTCGTATTTTGAAAGGCTAATATTATTATTTTTTTATGAAAATTAAATAAAATCGATAAGAATTTAGTTTGACGTCAATTATGAAATCAATACAAACATTTAAAAAAAATCAGATGTACAATAAAAAATTGTGCACCTATTATAAAAGCTACCATGTAATGAATGAAAGTTATTTATGCTTTATTGATAAAAGTTACCCAAAATAGTCTACAAGTTATTCTAAATTCAATTCAAGTAATCGGATGAATACAAAAGTTTTTGATAAAGATACAAAATAGTGTAAAAATTACTTTTATCGTTTGTTGTACTCCTTAACAAATACTGAATGCTGAGCCGAAATGTTGTCTTGGAAAAAAATACATAATCGTGAACATAAATTTAATTTTGATCGGCCTTTCATTTTCTATACAATGTGTTTTACAATGACCTTTTGTTTTTCTTGCATAAAAAAAAATGAACCAATAACCAATCAAAACAAGAAAAATAAAAGTTAAATTGAATTAGACATTTGACGGAAAAGGGATAGATATAAAATGTATTATAACTATTACTCGTGTTTTAAATTGTAATATTCGTATTAACAATGCTATTACTTATGAATTTTTTTTGGAAAAACTAACATTTTATTAACATTATTTGCATGTAATCATTAAATGTGTTGGATGTTGTGTAGCTATGCAATGTCCAAAACTTTAGTTGAGCGACTTTGATTTAGTGATTGTACGGGAAAAAGATATTGACTTCGATCTTGAAACCTAATAGTCTAATAAATTCTAAATAGAAAAATTAAAACAAAAGGAAATAAAAATAGTAAATGGCTTTAAATATTGAAATAAACATAACCTTTTAAATCAATTTAGCGAATTCAAGAGACAATTTTAAGGCTTTTAAAATTAAATGGGGGAAAATATATGTAAAAAGAACATTTTTAGATATATAAATGTCCATGCACTATTATAAGAGTTTTGTTAACCATTTTATAATTAAGTAAAACTTAGTAATATATACTCCGTATATTTTACTTATATAAAATTATCAGTATCCATACCTATATACAAAGAATTTGTGTTGTATACTATATTTAATCAGTTGTTGGTTATATATATGACTATTTAATATATAGTTTTTGGCACAATGCTTAACTTAGGAAAATATATGGTTATTATTGTGTCTATAGATTTAATGAGTGCGACGGGTAAATAAAAAATGTATATATTAGATTGATTGTAGCTACTGATGTGGATGGTATGATAAGAAAATTTTAGTTTTTTCTCAACGGGAGATATAAATAAATTAGTCCACTTCTTATATAGCTATGTGGTGTATTATTCAATTATTTTTCAATTAATAAAATAACATTATAAAAAATTAAAAGAAATTCAAATAACATAAAATACTATTCAAATAACGTTCCTTTAATGTTCTCAAAAAAAATAACGTTCCTTTAATTTTTTTTTATTGACCATTAGTAACCAAGTCCTTTAATAGTAAATGAATTACCTTTGTTTTTATTTTTATTTTTCCTACGGGTTTAATAGTTTGATTTATAAACCGTGCTTCGCACGGGCAATATGCTAGTTTACATATATAAGTGAAGCGAATGTCATTAAAACAAATTATTAGATGTAGTCTTTAGGTATATCTTATATAAATGAGCAAGCCTAACTATAAAAACCAGATTATATTGATCACCAAAAAAAAAATATTGAATTTAACTTAATATAATTATGTAGCTAACAATTATTGCTCATTGGCAAATAGATAGCGACACTTACTAGGGCATAAGCACCAACGGCAATGGTAGTAGCTTGGCCGAGATGTTGAAGGTGTTTATGGTGCTTCATTTCCTTCTTCGGGTCTTTAGGTGCCTCCTCCTTGTGATTGTTGTGACGGTGGAGACCAGTCATGTTGCGAATAACAAGTTGTTCGTAGAGTAAAGATGGATTGAGAAGTTGAAAGATATAAAGATCGAGTTTAATTTGTTACGATTTTAAATGAGAAACAATTATATCTATGTACAATTTTTGTGATCTATATATAGGAAAGAAATATTCATTTTCTTCTCAGCTAAGTATACATTTACGTGTGATATAAAGATGTAAATTCAACAAATTTGGAAGCTAATATAATACTTGACGCGTTGAAAATTACGTACGTAAATGTTCATGTTTAAGAAACTACCATGCACCTTCACATGCATAGACAACATTATCCTTAAGTTTTTGTAGAATAATTTTTTTTTTGTTTTTTTTTTTGACGGGAAGTTTTTGTAGAATAATTAAATGACGTAATTGGTCATCAAATTGTACTCATCTAGATTAAATGTAAATTATCCGCGTGACAGGGGCGAAGTCAGGATTTTCAAGTTTCGAGGGCCGGACTTATTAGACAACAGATTGATGGAAAAAATTAAAGTATACTAATATTTTATTGTCACAAAAAAACATTAGTTAAATCATACTTGATGATTTTTTTTTCAGAGTAGCAAAATCATCAATCAACGATTAAACACCAAAATCTACGACAATAAAAAAAAAAAAAATCTAGTGCTAGAAACCCAAGTTGAATAAGAAGTTTTAATAGATTGATGGAAAAAATTAAAGTGTACTAATATTTTATTGTCACCAAAAAACATTAGTTAAATCATACTCGATGATTTTTCATAGTAGCAAAATCATCAATCAAAGATTAAACACTAAAATCTACGACAATAAAAAAAAAAAAAAAAAAAAAATCTAGTGCTAGAAACCCAAGTTGAATAAGAAGTTTTAATTAAAAAGCTTATGGGTGATGGGATTCGAACCCAACCCCCTTGGGAAAATACAACATTACCCAACCAACTTGACAAGCTGTATTTATTTGGAAAATTTAACAATGACAAACAAACCTTTGCTCCATTCTCCCAAAATGAATCAACCTTTAAATCTGCCCAAAATAAACACAAGTTTGCATTTTTTTCTCCCATAGTAAACCCAAATGACTTGTGACCTGAATAACCGGTCACTTTTTTTATTTTCCATTTATTATCTTTTTAAAATAAATAAAATAAAATTAAAATAATTAAAAAAAAAACTCAACTCCCAATCCATTGCCAGCCACCCCTCCTCCCTCCGTCTGCCGGCGGCCGGCGCCCAACCACTTCGGGTGCCAGCAACCCCACCCTCAAACCCTAAATCACCTTCTCGAAACCACCCTCTTACGCCACAATTTACCCCTCAATTGTAAACCAATCACCACCACTTTGCCGCAACAAACATCCTTTGCCTTACCACCATTCACCACACATTCCTCTTCCAACCACAGCCCAAAATCGCCACCAATCACACCCCTGTAAGGCTATAATCATCGTTGTTGATTTTGTAATACCTTAACCCATAAACGGAGTAACACCTCAACTCGCAACCCGCAACCTGTCGTCGGCTAGCAACACTATGACTCGTCCCTCAACGTTGTTGATATTGTTGATGAAGAGTTCGATTAGGGTTCAGGGGTGGCGATTGTTGTTGAGGTGAGTCGTGATTTGTGGGTCTTGGCGGTTGTAGGTGTGGGACTGTGGGCTGCTGATGTTGCTTTGTTTGTGCAGCAGGTGGAGAATATGGTTGTTGGTAAGTAATGTTGGTTTTGGTGGCGAGAAGGGTGAAGGTTAAGGTGTGAGTATAGTCGGCATCGACGACCGGAGGAGGGGGGTTCTGGGCGGGTCAGCACCGGGGGCTGGGGGTCAAGCTTCGAGTGGTTGGTAGTGGGGTGGCTGGCATTTGGAAGGGTGTTTTGCTTTTTTTTTTTAATTTCTGTTTTTGTTTGTAAAAATTATCAAAAAAAAAGAAGTCTTGACCAATGATTTAATGACACGTGGATTTTTACCTAGTGTAACAGGTAAGGTGACCTGTTCGGTTCATTTTGGGAGAATAAAAGCAAACTTGTGTTTATTTTGGGCAGATTTAAAGGTTGGTTCATTTTGGGATAATGGAGCAAAGGTTGGTTTATTGTTGTTAAATTTTCCTATTTATTTTTAAGTATGTGTCTTGAATATTATATATACTAATTTTAAGGGGGGCCATAAGGTATAATATATGGGTAGCAAATCAGGGCCAGTCCTTCCCTTCGCCCTTGCCGCGTAAAGTAGTTAGAGTTTCTTAAGACTTTTTTTTTAAATTTATTTTTGTATCACCTACTCCCTCCATTCTCTTTTAATAGTCCTTTTAGCCCAAAATTTTCACCTCATTTGCTTTTTCCAACAACTATTAATATTGCGAGTAATTTTTTAACCAAAATTCCCTCCAATTTGCAACATTATTTGTGCAAATTTAACTTTTTCATGTAAATTTTGTTTTCCCATGTACTTTTATTACTTTCTATCTCTACTTTTTTGCATACCCAATGTCAATTTAATTTTTCAATGTACTTTAACCTTTTTTTTTTAATTAATTTCCGTGAAAAATGTCCATAAGGACTATCAAAAGGGGACGAAGGGAGTAATTTTTATATCATTGAATGATTCAAATCACAATTCACAACCAAGCCTAATAAATAAGCAAGCCCCTTATTATTGTGCGTGCAAGGTATTGTGGATGATTAACTATATAGCTTAGTTACCTAAAATATTAAGGTCGATTTTGTGTTTAAGATTTGGGATCAAATTATAACTACACTATTCGTCATTGTAGCTCTGTATATCTATAACTCTTAAAAGCCAAATTGGTGAAAAAATGGGTATCTTCTTATGAACAGTGTACTGACTATTCTACCCCTAAAAAACTAAAGAAAGTTTATTGACGTCTTTACCCTTTTACTAAATAAGGCAGGCTACTTTGGTTTTCTTTGGATCAGATTAGTCCTTTTCTCTACTCAGTTGCTTTCTCTCTCCTCTCCTTTATCCATGTTCTCTGATCCTCCATGGAAATAGCTTTTGAGGTTAAATTATTTTCTTTTTAGGGAAATTCTAAGCTGTGCCCTCCTATTTTTTAAGTTTCTCACTTGTACCCACGATTTTACAAAGTTGTACACTGTACCCTCCACCTTTGACACCGTTACAAGATATATTCCTGCCGTTAAGCTGCTGTTAGTTAGTTAAGTAAAATACGATTATGTTGTAATTTATGTTGGTTAATTACAGCGGGTAGCTTTCCCTCCAAAAGTTAGGAGCTTGTCTAGGGTTTGCGGCAGACCTCTGTTTTTTATTTAATCTCTCCCACCTTGATTTCCCTCTTCAATTACTCTCTCCTCCTTTTTCATATGAGTAAACATGTCTAACTCAAGGAATTCGTTCTCCTCCAATTCAGAATGTTCCTTGGAATTTATCAGCCCTAGGTGTGATAGGCCGTCGTCGAGCCTACCAAAGATAAAAACCTAACTTGGTCTCTCTAATGGGTAGAAAGGGCAAGTAAGGGTTGATCCCACAAGGACTAAGGGGAGCACTAACAAGTATCAATTTGTGATAAGCTAAGTCAAGTCTTTTTGGGTTTTGAGTTATACAGAAAAACTACAAACAATAATAAAAAGGATCTTGGGAAGGTATCCACCAATTAAGTCATTCACAAACTACAATTTAACATACAAAACATAGAAATTTGGGGATAAATTAGGGGAAGTCATCTAAGGCACCCAACTACCCTCTCAAGCTAGAGGGATTACTTGAGTTATGAATACAACCTACTCTCGTGGTTACAAAGCATAAAACAAGTGTTAAAGCATAATCACGATGACATAAACATTCCCTTGACTGGAAATTCCTATTCTCATGGCATTTCAAGTCAATTAAGCATAAGGGAGCTAACTCAAGTTCATCTCTCGATCCTTCGTTGAGAAAGCTTAGATAAATAGTTCTAGCAATGTCCATTTACAAGAACTAACAATTAAACCACTTAAGCTCAACTAATTAACATCCCACATTAGCTAAATCAACACATGCAAACAAGTATTTGTGAATTCATCAATGGTTTCAACCATCCCAAGTAAAAGAACTAGTCACAAATCATAATAAATTGCAAATCTAAATAAATAACTAACAACTAAGAACATGAAATCAAACACTAATTTAACATAAACAAGTAATAAAACAAGAAAAGATACAAAAATAAGCAATTAAAGCAATAAAATAAGAGAGAGAGTAAGAAATTCTCATTGATAATGCAAGAAATAATCAAATCTTCAAGTCTCCTTCCTTCAATTCTTCATATTCCAAGCTTTCAACAAGTTTTTCCCACTTTCTCTCTCTAGAAATTGAGATTTTCTCTCTCTAAACACCTAACCTAAGCTAAAACTACACTAAGAAGATCCTCCCTTACAAATGAAGCCAAAGAGGTATTATATAACCCCCAAGTAAAAGGACGGAGAACACGAGGAAACGAACCGTCTACAGGTCGACACGGACGTGTCAAAGGTTGCACGGACCTTGCACGGACGTGCTTCATTTGGTACGGACGTGCTTCATTTGGTACGGACGTGCAAGGACTTGCACGGACGTGCCACTTATTGGCACGGACGTGCAGCTCTTTTCTGGCAAAACAACTTATTTTTGGAAGGTCATAACTTCTTTGTTACTCATCAGAATAAGGTATGTGACCAGTCGTTGGAAAGATATTAAGATGAACTTTAATCTCCAATTTGAATCACTTCAAAATGTTGAGTAGAACAAAAGTTATGGTCAGTTGAAGTTGACCTTAGTGAAAAAATCCTTCCAAAACTTTCCAAAAGCTTTTCATTTCTCTTTAAGGCACTCATCCTTCTTCCTTAATTGCTCTATCAACCAAGCTTTCCCTTCTCCTTGTTCACTCATGCTTGATCACGTCCATATATAGTGCTAAAAATAGCTACATTACATCAAAAACACAAACAACCCGTGAAGCATGGATGGTACAAAATTTGTATAAAAATAGGATAAATAATTAACTTTGATGTCGAATAATCACGAAAACAAGGTTCAAAAGTACCCTAAAATCATACCAAATAACAAGTTATCAAGGTTCTATTGCAATCCCAACAAAGTAGCAAAGTTGAAGATCTCTACCACAAGTCGCAACCCAAGAAAAGGTTTCTTCAAGTGCAACGACTGTGGCTATTTCAAGTGGTTGCTGGAAAGCGA